ATAGCTGCTGCTGGTGGTTTAAGGTTTCAGCATTACCCTCTGGTGGCGAAGATGTCGTCTGCTAAGGAGTCGACATCTTTCCTTTCGTTAGAGGGAAGATTAGCGACGACCTCATCGCGTTTCTCATCTATTTCTGGCCTTTCATTTTTGGTTTCCTTGGACACTAACATCTTAAGAAAAATGCAGGAAGGTTTTGCGGTTGAACATACACTTGGTAAATCGAAGTGCTAAAAGGGGCACTGTGAAGACAGCCAAAGATCAAATTAACTATCTGTGCAAGGTTAGTTTATGGTCGATCTCAGCCAATCTCCTAGAGAAAGTATTTTATTATACTTTATGCAAATTTCTTATAATATCCATTCATTTCATTGGACACGCGACATTTGTTAATTTTCACTTACCTATCATAAATCCCGCCCACTCATAGTAACATGTGATAATATTAGCAGCAGGTGCTAATGCCTAAAATTAATACCCGCTGAGCCCGAAGTTTGCCGATCCAGAACAATTAACACCCGCTCTGGCTGAGGTTTTCCACTTCTTATTCCTACATCATTTCTGTCGTTTTGTAGTTGTTATTAGTACACTATATTAATCTATGACTTTATATTTTTACAATTGTCCTTCTAATAACATAGTGCACACTTGAATCATAAGGCATTCAGTATAATAAAAAAAAATCATACTGCCCTTAGATGAATGTGTTAGTGTGATTCAGAAATCGTCTTGGGCGATAATTTGTACCCTCGTGTGTTAATCTACCATCTATAGTCTTGGTTCTAAATTGTTTCAAAAGTCGGATTTCCAACTATTATTTCGTATAAAAACGCATTTTCTTAAAGAATTGTCAAAAAATAACTTGAGTTCCTATTTCAATGAAATTTTTAATGGTAAACTCATGAATGAGTGGTTTTTATGGTCATGACTGTAAATATTCACATTTTAAGTACTATGCTGAGAACCTGCTTTACACGTCTCTGTTTCTGTGGAAAGTTCAACTTATTAATACAAACCCCCCCCCCCCCCCCCTCTTCCTTTTTGTTTTTAATAATAAGGTCGGTCCATTCTCATCTACTAAATTAGAGTCAGTAACAAATAATTGAAAATAAATGTTTTATATGGTTTTTATGTAACAGACAAGTATTGCATTCATAATTGGCGAATAAGTATACTTGAATTATCTACCAATAAGTCCTGTAGTAAATGTCCGTCCGTCTCTAATAGACATTTTTGAAAACTTATCAATACTGACGATTACACCTATATCTAGAACGACAGGTAAACTTGTGAAAAGGGGTCATCTCAAGGTGTATAATGACCAACGTCATTTATATTAAATGTATCTTATTTACAAGCATTATGAAATAGCTCCAGTTTTAAACTAGCGTCGTACACAGTACATGAAATATAAGGCATGCAGATGAAATTGTAACAGATCAGCTGAATTATCTATTGCAAATGATCCTACAAATTAATGTAAGATGCAGTCACAGACATAAATATATTATAAGTACGTCTGAATCAGTGACGACTCTACAACCGATTTTATCTATCAGTGATGTTGATACAAGGCTGAAAATACATTCTGTATATATAAAATATATAATTATGCAAAACAAATTTCTTTATAAAGGGGTCTAAATACAGCACACATAACTTATTCCAAAAGACCAAAACAGTGAAAAAGTATATTTTAACAAAACACATTTCATAATACTATGAGTATGCATGTACAACAAGCAAATTCATTAGATACTACATTAACTATAGATAAAGAGAGAGAAAAAAAGTAGACGTAAGGATTGAGACATCATATTTTTCTGTGATGATAACCTATGTTTTGATGATGATGACCGTACGTGCCAGTATTAATAACAGATCGTGAAGGTATAAGAAAGTTTTTAACCTTTTAATAAAGTCTTAAACATGTTTGAAAATTATGAGATGATGTTGTTCGTTCGAAAGTTCAAGGTCTCCGCAAGTAGCCCTTTCCAGTTGTGAACATTACATTCCAGCAGCGCCTGCATACAGAGTATATATCTCCCAATTGATACGATATTCCCTGGCTTGTATTTTCTATCATGATTTCCTTGATTAAGGTTGCTGCTCACATGAAAGTTAATAAACCAAGAGTTCCAAATGGTAAAGTTGATATCATCCCTTCGTAAATTTTACGGACGCCATCACGAGTTGTTTTAACTTTATAGAATATCCGTTTCACAGATGATATCGGATACGTTCCTTATGTCGTAACTACAATCCCGTTCCTTTTTCCCAAATGTGACTTATCGAATTAGACTATTTACCGGATTTGTAATAAAATGAGCTATACGACACTGGCATTACAATCTGCTTACCCTTCCGGTGCACCTGAGATAACCCTCAGCTTTTGGTGGTCTTTCTGTTGCTTAGTCTTTAGTTTTCTATGTTTTCTCCTGTGTACCATTATTTGTCTGTTTGTCTTTTTCTTTATCATCCATGGTGTTGTCAGTTAATTTTCGATCTATATGTTTGAATTTCCCTCCAGTTTCTTTCGCCCTCTTTTAAAGTTTAATATCTAAAACATAGTTATCGGTCAGCCAATTCAGATTGCTGACTGAAGTGTCTCTACATGAAGTGTAATTTTGAACAACGTAGACTACCATTATCCAATTCTTTCTTATATTTGGATATAATTGAAATTAAAGGTTAATAATAAGGGGAAGTCTACAAAATAGAACAATGATATTTATACCAGTTCGCAACGGGTAATTGGTTATACTTTGTACACAATTGCATGTTTTTGATTCATATTATAGAACATCTGTAATTCTATGTTTGTATATATCATATCAAAATTCTAAACCAATCTCAGTGTAGAGAGTTTTAGTAAAAATTGGTTGAACTGTTTTCTAATAATTATTTCACACTTCGGTGGCATATTTAAAAATTGGTCTATTATAAAAAAGTTTGACAGTCGGTTTTTAATTTTACACAGAACATTAACTGTAAAATGGATAATATAAATGGAGAATGTGTCAAAGAGGCAACAACCTGACCAAACAGCAGAAAACCACCGAAGGTCACTATTTGGTCTTCAACTCAGCAAGAAAATCCCGCATCCAGAGGCGGGCTTACTCTGGCCCTTCAACAAAACTGTGTACTAGTTCGGTGAAAATAGACGTCATACTTAACTGTAAAACATATAAATGAACTAAAATTAAAAAAAAAAACATCCAAGATTAACAAAGGCCAGAGGCTCCTAACTTAGGACTTTTTACACTTGTAATTATTCTTTCAATATATGATTGTTCCATTTTTCTTCAACAATAAAAATAACTCCCAGGTACGCATGTGACTAATAGAGATATTTTTGTATCATTCATGGAAAAGTAGAGATCTGGTATCTCACTATTTGAAAATATCAGAATTTCTTTTTTATGAGGATTTAATGACATAAGCCATTCAGTTGGCTTATCATTCAGCTTTCAGGTTGCGATCGATCACAGATCTAATCTGTTGCTATCGTAACTAGAATAACTGAATGTAGTGTCATCTGCTAATAGCCGAGACCACAGTGATGTAAGCTAATCAGCAATATCATTGATATACAAAACGAAGAGTAGATGGACCAGAACAGATCCCTTGGGTACATCTGCTAACATTTACAAAGGGAAGGGGACGAATTGTGCAGCACTAACTGCTGTTTATTTTCTATCATGCAGATCATATTTAAATCACTGTAACAAAGGAAGGTATACCATTGAAGGGATCCTAAATGCTCTTAAACTTTGTACTTGTTTGGCTTTATAGCTTTTTTGATATGAGCTTCACTGATTAGTCTTATGTAGACGAAACGTGCGTCTGGCGTACTAAACTATAATCCTGGTACCTTTGATAACTATATACCATCAGCAACATAACACCAACCTATTTTTTAAAGATATTGCAAGCGTATATACAGTATATAAAGTCAAGATATTTTAATGAGACTATGGAATAAACAAGTTCGCGTGGACATAAATGTTAGTGAAGCCAAATACATAATGAAAACAGTTATAAAAATAACGAATTTTCTCCCTAAATGCGTACATGGAATAAATAGCCCGAATTCGATATTTTGCTAATCACTTTTTGTGAAACAAATCACCCAATTTTTTTTAAAGTAGTAGGCCCGGAAAACCCACTTTTCACCCAAAAATATAGCGTTTTAACATACTTGTTTAAAATGTAAACTTTTCTTTAAAAAATCACAAAAAAGTCGGTATTCAACCCGAAATCTAACCAAACCTTTGAACAGACTTATTTAGAAGGGATATCGTTACAATATTGTTGTAAGGTAATTAAAGATTGCATATTTTCGTATTAATATTGATTCACTCATACGGTTTTTGCATCGGAAATAAACACAATTATTCTAAAAACAGTTGTTGGCAAGATATGGGTTATGTTCTTCTCAGTATGATACTAAATCACTGGATACTAAACGGGAGGGATTATGGTTGATTTTCATATGGTGAAGATATAATCGTTCAATCAGTTGAGGTCTGGAGCTGGCAGGTCAATAACTAGAGGCTAGAGGTATAGGGGAGGGTTGAGACTCACAAAACATGTTCAACCCCGCCGTATTTTTGCACAAGTCTCAAGTCAGGAGCCTCAGGACTTTCATAGTCTTGTATGTTTTTTTAATTTTAGTTTTTAATATGATCTAATAAACTATGAATTTCGAAAAGCTATTAAATCTCAAAACAAGCAACTTTCAATTTGACTTAGAAAATCCGTACATATCTGTGGAAAATAAATATAAAATTTGTGAAAAGTCCCAAAGTCATCTAATGTATAATACATTTCTAAAAAATCATTAATCGCCAAAACCATTTACTTTAAATTTAACTAACTAGTATTGGATATGTCTAAAAATACATCCTATTAAAGGTATTAAAGGTATTAAAGGTAGTAATATCTATAAATAGCACCACGGGAAATTTGAATTATAAATACCCTCAAATGGTATATATAAATTTAGTCTCGTTGCACCAGAGTTATTGTTCTTAATGCAAACAATAACGTCTGGCTCTACATATGCATATGGAGCGTCTGGATGATCGAGACTAATATAAATTCCAAATGATTATTTTTTTTCATTGACATTCACAACATTGATTAAAGGTAAATAACTTTATCAACTTTTATTCGAATCTATCATCATCGCGATTTTTCTAAAGATTGGAAAATAATTATTTATCTATAGGCACATATGTATAGTACTAAATAAAAGCTTAATATTTCAACTTTTCACATCTGTTGATAGGAGTTGTTAAATAAATGGTTGAAAGTATCAAACTAATAATCATCATTTCTTTAAACCAATAATAGAAAAAATGTGTCGCTGTGTTGTTTTTGTTTTGTTTACATGATTCTTATAGTTTAATTGGCTTTTAATTGATACTGACTTTGAAATTAATAAATGGAATTCTATATTTGTACAATAAAGATATTAGCCGAATTGAAGGGTACTGTTTAAGTACCGTTTTAAAATGTCAGTTCATGTCAGAACGACTCATTTTATGCAAATGTGTTGTTTGTCTTTTAGGGTTTTGTTCAGTCCAATAGATACTAATGGATAAACTTGGAAACTTCTTGTCCATAATTAAAGCCGCTCGAGATTTAGCAGATGCACTGGGAGCATCTGGTGAAGGACAGGTAAGCAGTTTTAATTTGGTTTTAACTATTTGCAAGACTTTCCAAGTAACAGATGTGGATCCAGGATTTAAAAAAAGGGAAGGGTCATTATTAAGGAAATGTTAGTAATGGGTATTGTAAAAGGTATATAAATTAAACATTAGCTTCATAACTGTTGTATTTATCATTAAACGCATTGCCTTCTTGAAATTTATAGATTGATCGTGGTGATGGGAAGATTGTACACTGGTCATTTAAAAGTCAGATATATGCATTTCAGTTGCAATTTAGAGGTAAATGTGTGGATGAAACCACTGGAGAAACAGCAACTGCTACACAAGAAAGCAGAGGAGGTGCAATTGAGCATTCCATGAAAGACCTGTTCCAGAAGTTGGCATCAAGGAACGCATTATAACATTTATATATTTATTTTTTACTCAGTACTATGTTATGTATTATATATCAAAAAGTAGACATCCGGCCATTTTCAATTTCTATTTTGATTTTATATATTTTATGAAAAGTTGTGAATCTTATTAAACATTTAGATCTTTTAGTGAACTTGTATTTGCAAAATACACCCATACGGGTCAAGCAAACACATATACAAACATATATAATACAGAAAGTGAATAACAACAAATATCAACATAAACCATATTTAGTGAACTCAAGTTGTATCGTTCAGTTTTATTATATGTATTACACCTACTGTTATACTTTTGCCTATGGTTTTACAATTAAATCTAACTGATCGATTGTATATAACAAAAAATAAACAATAAATCAACTTGCTTCTTATTTTCGTGCAAACAATACCTACGTATAAGGCCAATGTAAAATGTCCACAAACCACCAGACACCAAGAACCGACTCCAATGTGTACGAGTATGTTGTATGCAATAATTACTGTTCTGTGTTTATTGCGAAACCCTCTTGTATATTTCCAATTTTACCATGCGGGACCTTTTATATATAGTCATGAGGTATTTTGTTCAATCTTTCCCGATGACATATATAGTTGCTTTTTGTGGTTTGATCTCTGGTTATCTCATTTGGTAATTAAGCTTCATCTCCTCATACAATGCATATATTTTGATTCAATCTGTACTTTTAGAAACAGACAAAATTGTTTCACATTTGCCATTCCGGAGCATTTGATAGCTGACTATTTGGAATGGAATTTACTGATGTAGAAGGCCGTACGATGACTTATAATTGTTAATGTCGGTGTCATTTGGTTTCTTGTGGAGAGTTATTTCATTGGCAATCACACCACATCTTCTATATAAGAATAACGTTTTATCTTATCAATAAGCCATTCGTTTTACACCGCCGCCCCCTAAAACCCTGGAAGTAATTTCTAGTGATAGGGGAATTCCAACTGTCTTATTAGATTCCATGATAAAAAAAATCTCATTTAGATTGATCAACTGATTGTTTTTAACGTCGCTTTCACGGGTGCCACATGTGGAGCAGGATCTGCTTACCCATCCGGAGCACCTGAGATCACCCCTAGTTTTTGGTGGGGTTCGTGTTGCTTATTCTTTAGTTTTCTATGTTGTGTCATGTGTTCTATTGTTTGTCTGTTCGTCTTCTTTTATTTTTAGCCAGGCGTTGTCAGTTTATTTTCAATTTATGAGTTTGACTGTCCCTCTGGTATCTTTCGTCCCTCTTTCAGTACTTTGTACTATTTCATGGTGGTCCGTTTTTATTCGTGGAAGAACCCGGAGTTCCCGAAGAGAACCATCAGAAGTAAAACTGACAATCCTAATCAATTTTAAAAAGACTAGTGCTATTATTGTTTGACTACTAATGCTTTAAAATTTGATAAAAAAATACGTAAAAGAGGTAAACAAATTTGATATAACACCCCGATTATTTAAGTTGGTGTCGATGTCAACACATAGTACATCACCAAAACATATTCCTTAGATCAACGTTTATAGTTTTCTTTACGATCGCGGTAGCTTATTAATTGACGTTTATAGTTTTCACTGTTGATACCAACCTGCAGGTAGGAGATACACAGTTTAAAATAGGGATACGTATGTTAACAGAAATATCATATGTACACTGCTGAAATATCGACTATCGTGTAGAAGATACACAGTATGCAAATAAGATATAAAAGCCTATCAGAAAACATTCAAATAAGACCAAATGAAAAGAATATGTTAACAACTATAGGTAATTGTATAGCTCTCAACAATGAGCAAACCTCTTATCATATTGTCATTCATCAAATTGACCTAGAGTAACACAACATGTTTACCAATACAAACAAAAATATAACGGCGGGTTAAACACGTTTCTACATAAGAAAAAGCCTGTACCAAGTCAGGAATATGACACTTGTTAACCATTGTTTGATGTGTTTGAACTTTTGATTTTGCCATTTGATTAGAAATTTCCGTTTTGAATGTTTCTCGGAGTGTTGTATTTTTGTGATTTTACTTTTTTCGTAAGCGCTAAACCCTCCCCATATCATGGGGAAATGGTGCAACAGCACATGCAACAGTATTACAATATGAGGAAATTCATAAGATATTGCACGAACTATTTCCAGTATTAATAAAACTTCATGAAGGTACAAGAAATAATTTTGACCTTTCGTTAAAATCTTGAACATGTTTGAAAATTATGAGATGTTGTTCATACTACGGAAGTTTAAGGTCTCTGCAAGTAAACAGTTTTACATTTGACGAAAGCAAACTTGATACCGTCTCCTCTCACATTGTGACGACGATGATAACTTCTCCTCAGACATTAAGACGTCGAATAAGAATAAGAATAGGAATAAGAAGGATAATGAGAATAAGAAGAATAAGAATAAGAATAAGAATATTTATTGAATCCAATTAAAGGGCCCGGTTCCTAGCATATATATATATATATATATATATACAATATTAATTATACAGTAATTTTAAAGATATATTACATGAAATATAAATGATTAAATAACTATACTTCATACTAGATGGTGTTAGAAAATAAATGAAATAGAATATTTTGTCTCTTTAATACATAATACCTCGATAGTAACGCCTTTCTTGTCTCAAAACCGTGATATACTACAATTACGGAGCGACTGAGCTTGGTTGATAAAGGGCGTTGGGAAGGACGATAATGGGTTGTACTTTGTAAACATGAGGGTGACATATTTGCTCAGCTGCATGTTTTTGACTCATATTATGGAACATCTGTAATTCTATTTTTTCGTCTTTAATATCAAAATTCCACACCTATCTCATTGTACAGTCACAATTTTAGTAAAAATTGGTTGACCTGATACCTCATAATTATTTCAAACTTCGGTGGCATGTTCAAAAATTGGTCTATATTATCTAGAAAGACAATCGGTATTTAAGTTTACACAAAACATTAAATGTAAAATTGAAAATGGAAATGGGGACTGTGTCAAAGAGGCAACAACCTGACCAAAGAGCAGAAAACAGCCGAAGGTCACTAATGTGTTTTCAATACAGCGAGACAATCCCAAAACCTGGAGTTGGGCTTACGCTAGCCCATAAACAAAAGTGTGTTCTAGATTAGTGAAAGTGGACGTCATTCTAAACTCACAAACAGATTTATAAATGAACTATTATTAAATAAACATACAAGACCACCAAGGTCAGATGCTCCTGAGTTGATTCTTTTTTTAGCTTGTAATTACACTTTCAATATGAAAAAAATAAAAGGTAAAATCACAAAAATACTGAACGCAGACGAAAATTCAAAACTGAAAGTCCCTTATTAAATGGCAAAATCGAAAGCTCAAACACATCAAACGAATCCAATTTTATTCACTACTAAAGGTAACTCCCAGGTGCGTATATAATGCACTCAACATTTCCGTTCTCCATTTATACTGTATACCTTACAACAAAATTCTGTTCTTTTACCTGTTACATTATTCTGTTTGGCGGCAAGTTTATTTGTTCATGGTTATAGTTGACTGTCTGAAATTATTAAACATCTTAAAGCGGTATGATGTTGTCTTTACTTATTCATCCCTTATTTGAAAGATTTTGTATTTGAATTGTGTCATATATCAAATTTATTCGTTCCGGGTATGTTGACTTGTATTAATATGTCTTTTGATTGAGTTAAGCCATTTCAATTGATATTTTATAGTGTGTCTTTCTATGTTGTGATGTTACACTATTGTTTCGGGTACGGTTGAAGGTTGGTACCCATTAAAGAGGGAAGAAAGATACCAGAGGGACAGTCAAACTCATAAATCGAAAATAAACTGACAACGCCATGGCTAAAAATGAAAAAGACAAACAGACAAACAATAGTACACATGACACAACATAGAAAACTAAAGAATAAGCAACACGAACACCACTAAAAACTAGTGGTGATCTCAGGTGCTCCGGAAGGGTAAGCAGATACTGCTCCACATGTGGCACCCGTCATGTTGCTTATGTGATAACAAATCCGGCAAATAGTCTACTTCGGTAGGTCACATTCATGAAAGGGAAGGGGATTGTAGTTACGACGTAAGGAACATATCCGATATCATTTGTGAAACGGTTATTCCATAACGGTCAACCAACTCGTGATGGCGTCCGTAAAATTGACGACGGCATGATTTCAACTTCACCATTTGGAACTCTTGGTTTAATAGCTTCCTTGTGAGCAGCAACCCTCTATCAAGAAAATCATGATAGGAAATGCAAGCACGGGAATATCGTATCAATTGGGAGATATATACCCCGTATGCAGGTGCTGCTGGAATGTTGCTACTTAGAAATGATAAGTTCACAATAGGAAAGCTGAAATCATCTCTTTTGTCGTAAAGTTTTGTTTTCAACCGACCCTCATTGTCAATTTCTAGATGTAAGTCAAGATATGAGGCCGACTTAACTGTATCTGTAGTATTAAAACGTTCAAACCCGCTGCATTAGTTTGCACATGTTCTAAGTCAAGAACCTGAAATTCATTAGTTGTCGTTTGTTGTTGTGGTTCATACGTTTTTCTCATTTTTCGTTTTTTATATAGATAAGTCCGTTGGTTTTCCCCTTTAAATGGTTTTAAACTAGTTATTTTTTAGGCCAATTATAGCTTGCTATTTGGTGTGAGCCAAGGCTCCGTGTTGAAGATCGTATTTTGACCTATAATAGTTTTTCTTTTACAAATTGTGACTTGGATGGAGAGTTGTCTCATTGGCACTCATATGACATCTTCTTATATCTTAAAATATCATAATTTCTGTTTTATCATGATTCAATGACAGTAGCCATTCAGTTGAACAATTATCCAGCTTTCAGGTCGTGATCGATCACTGATTTAATCTGTTGTACATCTTCATTAGCATTACTGAATGAAGGGTCATCTGCAAAAAACCATCAAATAGATGTAAGCATATCAACAATATTATTAATATACAAAATGAAGAGAAGATTGACCAGACCCGATCCATGTGGTACACCCGCTGACACATTATAAAAGGAAGAGGACGAAATATGCAGAACAAATACTGTTTGTTTTCTATCATGCAGATCATCTTCAAATCGCTTTTACAAAAGAAGGTATACCATCAACTACGTAAAACCAACCTAACTTTTATAGTCATGATTGCAAACGTATATACAGGATGTAAAGTCAACATGTTTTAATGAAACTATGGAATAAACAAGTTTGCTTTGGACCAAAATGTTAGTGAAGCCAAATACATAAAAAAAAATAATTATAAAACAAATGAATATTCGATAGCTGCGTTTCAGTAACGACCTTACACTGTTTTTCTCTCCCTAAATGCGTACATGGAATAAAAGTACCCGAGTTCGATAGTTTGCAAATCTCTTGACAGATCCGTAACTATTTATAGCGCTTTTACAAAATTGTTAAAAATGGAAACTTTAAACTAATTATTGGCTAGTTGCTACATACATATGAGATGTTCTGACATCTTTATGACAGTAGATACTTAAGTTTTTAAAATTTATTTTGAATCTTTCATCAAATGTATTTTAAATTTGTTTAATCATTTGTTAAAAATAGACATGAATTTCCGAAAAGTTTAAAATTATCCCCATGTCATCTAATGAATGATAATTTTTAAAAAATCATTAAGTTTCAATTTAACGAATAAGAAATAAATATGTCTAAAAATACATTTTTAATTCTATTTAAGGTCGTCATAACTATGAATAGCACAACGGGAAATACCCACAAATGGTATATATATATATATATATATATAAATTCCAAATGATTATTTTTTGTTGTTGACGTTTCACAAATTTGAGGTAAATAACTTTATATACTTCTTTTCGAGTTTGTCATGATTCTTTAAAGAATTGGAAAATAATGTTTTTTTATAATTTGTCTCAAAAAACGAATTAAACTAAGTATAAGCTTATTTCAACTTTTCACATCTGTTGATAGGAGTCACTGAAGGAATGGTTGAATTTATCAAACTGATATGTGTTGTTGTTGTTTTTTTTATATTGACATGATACTTTATCACTATAGTTTAATTGGCTTATAATTAATACTGACTTTGAAATTAATATATGAAATTTTATATTTGTACAATGAAGATATTATCCGAAGTGACGGGTACTATTTAAGTACGATTTTAAAATGTCAGTTCATTTCAGAACGACTTATTTCATGCAAATGTGTTATTTGTCTTTAAGGATTTTGTTCAGTCAAATAGAAACTAATGGATAAATTCTTAAAAGGTGCTGAAGATATGGCAAATGCATTGGGAACATCTGGTAAAGGAGAGGTGAGCTGTTTTGATTTGAGCAATAATTCATGGAAGTCATATATTTGTTGGAAATTTACACATTGCCTGGGACGTGATATTCGATTTTTATCCTCCGCGATAGTTTAAACTATTTGCAAGATATCAATGATACAGATGTGGGTCTGGAATTTAAAAAAAAAACCGCAACGTTAGGAATAGGTCTTGAACCATGTCCCCTGAATACATTTCTGCTTTAAAGACGTTCCTCCTATATTAACATGTAAAACCCCGTTCACACTGGCATTTTTTAATCGATCTAATTTGAATTGATCTAAATAAGACTGTTACATTGTTAGCGTTCACTTCAATTTTAATCATAACGATCTCTATCGGTCTAATCTAAACCATTGTGTTCATACTACAATTACAATTGATTCGACCTAATTACCCGTAAAATGTTAAACATAGCGTAAACATAGAAATAATTAATCGAACCTATGTGTTGATACACTTATATACAAACTTGAAAAAAACTGGAGAAAGTTATTGTTTCATTTGAATCCCAAAATCAAATTTTGACACTGGTGTTAACGCAGTTTTCGTCAATTTTAAACAAACAACTGTAGCATATCCTTCATACATGTGCGTATCCTACGAAAAACTTCCAGATTTCTTCTTGATTTGTTCTCCAATTCGATTTGTATCCTTTCATCCCCTATAATTCAAGGAAAAGAACCTTTTCTTCGTGAGTCCATGTATCGGACTTTTTATTCATTTCCTTCAATATCTTATACTTGTGTTGTTTTGCCGCTAAACATGCGCATACATTAATATCGATTCAATCATATTACTTTAAACCGATCTCTGCATTCACAGTTAAAGTAAGATTGGTTCACTTTAGATCGATTCATACTCAACTTCCTCTTTTGATGTTTTAGTTTAGACCGATTCGTTCACATTGGTCATTAAACCGATTTAAAGTTAACCGATCTAGTTTAAATGTAAACGCCGAGATCGATCTAAATGGACTAGTGTTGAACGGGGTATAAACACCCTATCCCAAAACACCGTCTATTCTATGGTATATTATTGTATAACCTTGAGATGTACTCCACAACGTTGATGATATATTATAGACTTTTGGCTTCAATCTAGCATCACTGAAAAGACGTTAGTTTTTGAAATAGGCATTTTTTTGGTGCTGTGAAATTTGTACCGTTAACGTATTTATAAATCACCGATCTTTAGATTAAAAAAAAACCAAAACATTGACCTTGAACTGAAAACTATTCATTTAACTTTAGTACAAATGTATTTTTATATACATGATATAGGCTTAATCATATCAAATGAAGTATATTCTGTTATGATTGAGATTTCAGGAAATTAAATGTGTTACTATTAAATAAATTACAGTACTTACCATACATGACTTTTGAGAAGTTTAATGACATTGGATTTCATGACATTTAAATGTTCATGAAAAAAAGTCAAACATCATGGATGAAGTTCTCAATATACCAAAAACTAATTAAATGAAGCCTATGTTTTAAATTTCGGAGTGTAGTGCTGTGCGATTTCTTCAATGATTAACAGGAAACTCTCATTTATCGACTGAACTATTTTCGTTTTGCCAACAATACTACGATAGCATAAAGCCTCAACATGTCTGGAACTCATTTAACAAAAATATTACGACTAAGATTTATCGATTTTATCGTAAGATATACTGAAATGGTCATGAAAATATTTGATAAATGTCAGAGATTAATATGACGTTGTGGAATACGGCGGGAATGGTTACACGATAATGTGGCATTAAAAATGACCAACGCACATGACCAGGCGACGTTATTTTGCGCTAATACAGTTATATATATATATATAGCATTAACAATGAGGTGTCATGCAATGATACTGACAAGAAAGCTGTCTGTGGCTTTTTGTCACTGAAAAGTGTTTCAACAATGTTATTTTATCTTCAACTTGGACACTTCATTAAAAGTATATTAACTAAGTAACACTTCACAATAAGGTAAAGTTTTGTTATTTTGCTACCGAATTATTGTTTACCAACATAACTCGAAAAGTAACTCCTGACCCAATCAAGAGTGGCGTAATATATTATATAGCAGAAGATTTTGTTTATATGCCTATCATTTACCTATCTGTTGTATTTATCATTTAACTAATTGCCTTCTTTTATAAAATAGATTGATCGTGGTGATGGAAAGATTGTAAGCTGGTCATTCAAAGGTCAGATAATTGGTATTGAGTGGAAATACATAGGTATTTGTGTGGATAGAGCCACTGGTGAAACAACTACTGCTATAACACAAAGCAAAGGAGGGGCCATTGAGCATTCCATGAAAGACCTGTTCCAGAGGCTGGCATCAAAGAATGCGTTATAGAATTATATACTTATTTTTGACTCGGCACTAACATATGTCTTCTATGTAAAATAGTACACATCCGGCTATTTTCAATATTGATTTTAATACACTTAATATATCGTGCATTATAATCTCAATATTTATTAAGATTTTTGAGTTAACTCAAGTTGTATCGTTCAGTTTTATTTTATGTATTACAATTTGTTTTATATGTATTCCCCTACTTCTTTTACAATATCTTAAAACGATCCGATGCTTTATACACTTTTGCATAACAATAAAATTTACAACAAATTAATATGCATGTTATTTTCGTACAAAAAAACCTACTAAAAGTCAATGTTAAATGGAATCAAACCAGCACACATCACGCCTCAACTCTCATCGGTATTAATAATGTATATTTAATGACATCAACCCACCACACATGACGTCTCAACTCCCATCGGTATCAATAATGTATATGTAATGACATCAACCCACCGCACATCACGCTTTAACTCATGTCGGGTGTGTTGTATATATAATGGCATCAAACCGTCACACGTCTCGCCGAATATCCCATCGGGTGTGTTGTATATGTAAAAGCATCAAACCACCACACAGCACGCCTAAATTCCAATCTGGTATGTTGTATATGTAATGGCATCAAACCACCCCACATCAAGCCTTAACTCCTGTCGGGTGTATGTATATGTAATGGCAACCACCCACCACACATCAAGCCTTAACTCATGTCGGGTGTATTGAATATGTAATGGCACCATCCCACCACACGTCACGCCTAAAATCCAATCTGCTATATTGTATTTGTAATGGCATCAAATCACCCCACATCAAGCCTTAACTCCTGTCGGGTGTGTTGGATATGTAATGGCATCACACCAGCACACACCACGCATTAACTCCTGTCGGGTGTGTTGGATATGTAATGGCATCACACCAGCACACACCACGCCTTAACTCCTGTCGGGTATGTTGGATATGTAATGGCATCACACCAGCACACACCACGCCTTAACTCCTGTCTGGTGTGTTGGATATGTAGTGGCATCACACCAGCACACACCACGCCTTAACTGCTGTCGGGTGTGATGTATTTGTAATGGCATCACACCGGCACACGTCACGCCTAAACTCCTGTCTGGTGTGTTGTATATATAATGGCATCACACCAGCACATCACGCCTTAACTCCTGTCGGGTATGTTGTATATGTAATGACATCAAACCGACACACATCACGTCACAACTCACATCTGGTATATTGTAAATGTAATGACATTAAACGACCACACATCACGCCTTAACTCCCATCGGGTATGTTTTGTATGTAATGACATCAAACCACCACACATCACGCCTTAACTCCCATCGGGTATGTTGTGTATGTAATGACATCAAACCACCACACATCACTCACAACTCCCAGCGGGTATGTTGTATGATCTTGTATATGTAATGAAATCAAACAACATCTCGCCTCAACCCCCATTAGATATGATGTATAAATATGTATGCAATTATCAATATTCTATGTTAATTGTAGAAATGTCGTTGTGATAGTGGTTTTGCGATTTCTTATGTATGAGGCACGATCGGTACGTAATTTAAATATTATTGTGTTTTTGGAGGGGTGTAATCACGTTTCTCCAACATTTAATAATTAGACTTCAAACCATTGAAGACTAAAGGGTCCTGATAAGGATTGGCATCTTGATATTTCTGTAATTCACTTGTTCTTGACTAAAATATTGGTAAAAAGATGTATCTTTTTTGAAGATATGTATTAACACATTAACAAAATATCTTAATTTCTTCTACAATAATTGGTGTTTCATCATTTAAAAGTCGACGTAATCTAGCAAATTGATGTATATTTTTATTTTAAAAAAGTAAAGATTCACTTAAAAAAAAAGTTAATGTAAGAACTGATAAAGGTGAATTACAGGTAAATATTAAGATGTCAGTCCTTTAGGACCCTCTCATCTTTAATGTTGTTTTAGTTTCATTATCAAATGTTGGAGACACGTGACTAACCCAAACACCTTTGGAAGTATAATTTAATGCATGATTTTGATTTATTCATCATTATAAAATAAAAGAAATAGAATTGTATATATGCAAAATCTAGCTTAATATTTGATTTAATAGCGATTTAATCGTTTCTAAAACACTTTTATTGTGATCTTTTGTGAGAATATTTATCTTTGAACTATTAACATAGATTTGCGTTTCTGTTTATTATGTAATGTTTTTGTTTTTTATAAATAAAAGAATAAGATGATTATTTTCTTATGTATAAACGGAATTTAGAATATATGACTGACTTTCTTAATCACGTGTTACTGTTGCTGGTTATATAAATTAACACGGTGCTGATTTATAAATTTAGTTCTTGTATGATCAATAAGATTATTATTATTATTAATGTAGTATATTTCGATACTAACAAAGATTTTTTCTTTTAAAGATAATAGAGCTGGGATTTCATATTATAAAAAGAAAAGAGCACTGTTCTAATGCCTTTTCAACAATTGAAGATTTTTTTATCTCTAAAAATGCATTAAAAAAAGTTATACTTAAAGAATTGAATAATAATATTTCCGATTTAATTGCCGATGAAAAACCCACCAGTTCTAAAATTTTTGAAATAAGATATATAAAAAAACACATTGTCTTAAAACAATTGTCATATAGGTACAGTATGACGCACTTACAATCTTCTTAATAAAGTTTACGAGAATACCTTATAATTGATCCTTTGTCTGTACTTTTATTGTTGGTAAACTCTTTCATCAGATGCGGATTTAAGGACCCAGGGGTCCGGGGTCCCCCTTATGGAGCTAGAATCATGATAAAGGCAAAACTTGTTACTGTTACTGCAAACGTTGCAATGCTAGAGCCTCCTTTTCAAAATCCTGGATCCACATCTGCTAATACCTGTGTAAAACGATTTTAGTGGAAATGTCAAAAAGTATAAGAAAGGTACAAGTATTAAATATTTTATAATGTGAAATACGATATATGATGCCTTAAAGAAAGTAATAATCTTGTAGAAGATTCATGTACTCTTTTTAGAAACTTGCAACGTTGGTCTTAGACATTCGATTTTGTTATCAAGTTTCAATATCATTTCATCAGTAATATACCAGTTAAATCAATTTTGTACGTTTTACTGACACTTATTTTTCGTGGTTTCTAAAAGCAAACACAAAAACATTTCAACCAATTTATTGTATGTTGTATTGATAATACATAACCGGATAAAATCAATAGATTATAAATGTGCTTTGTACTTTAGCTTCGTTTCCACTTTGCAATTTCAAGGGAAATAAATTTAAATCAACCGTTTGTGTAACAATTACTTGCAACAGTTGCTTGAAAGCACAATAGAGAACTGCAACACATAGTATTTTTACTATGAATGCGAAAAATATTCCCGTGAAATAACTACCAAGCTGCAGCTTAGAGTCATCCGAAAACTTTTGATTATGATTCATAAAGCATACGCTGACATTAAAAAAAAAGTAAAATCACAAAAATACTGAACTCGGAGGAAAATTCAAAACGAAAAGTCCCTAATCAAATGGCAAAATCATATGATAAAACACATCATACGAATGGACAACAACTGTCATATTCCTGACTTGGTACAGGCATTTTCAAATGTAGAAAATGGTATGTATATGTTGTGTACAAATTGTAATGTTGTACAAATTATAATTTGTACAGATTTTTTGTACAAGTTATCAGTGTTTTATGACCCGCTTAACACAAATCGATGATACAAGCACACAGTCTTTGGTTTCGCATATTTCTGTCATATTTCCATGACTACATGATACAGTTTAATACTGAGCATTGATACAATAAACATTATAAGAACACAAAAAGACTTTTTATGGAAATGATTTTGGTGTAGGGAGAAAAATTAAATTAGAATTTAAACAATTCAGGTGTCCTTATTTCCAGTATGAGGACAAAGAGATTAGCACTAAATATTAGGTTGAAGTATATAAATTTGAATTTAAGACATTAAACAGATACATTTGAGAAGATAAACATTTATCACCTGTTGCAAAAAGGTATGTGTCAAAAAACTTATAACTTGTACAAAAACCCTGTACAAATTATAATTTGTACAAACTTACAACTTGCACACAACATAAACATCATTATTTTTACAAGTTAAATTATGGCTCCCAGTTCGTACTACGGTTGGAACGGTAGCAAATTTGGAAACTGAAAATAGACTTGTGAGTTGTAAGGAAACGGTCTAATGCGCTGATCATAATGTTAAAGTTCATGTGAACCCTTTCACTAAAATGGCTGCGTTTTCACCTAAAAATATTTTGTTTAGTACAGAAAACCTGACTATATAATTATGAATAAAAGAAAATGTGGGGTTTATAACAAGTATATGGGAAAGCAACTCAACGATAGCAAAAGTTAAAGATACTTAGAGGCCAAAATATAATCTTTTGCAAGACAGGTGTCCAAACGGTATGTTAAGATCTAAAGCTCCAAATCTTCCTGAGTCCAAAAACATGAGGAATAAATGTAACAGATCAATCCAAGACTGTTCATTCACATCTAATTTTCGAAACAACGCAAAGTTTATTGTTAATTCAAAACGTATTTTCCGAGCAGAATATCACTCATTGTGCACAATGACAATTTCCCGTGTAATATTTTACTTCCTCCGGAAAACGGGAATTTTTTATGCCCTGATCATACAACTACTGACGATTTTTCTGACTTTTGAAAAAGTTGGAGTCTAACTTTTTTTCTCGCCTTTGTCATGCGAGACATATGGATTTATCCGGAGACGGTGTAACCTGTTTTGAAGAGCCATTGGTGGCCTTTTTCTGCTCTTTGGACGGGTTATTGTCTCTTTGACACATTCCCATTTCCATTCTCAATTTTATTGTATACAGATTTATTTTCAAATGGTAGATCTTCGGAATTCTTTGTATTTTGCACTATTACAGTACCTTAGGTTCTGAAGTTTACAACTGTCATATGTCAATTTTACTTGACCTCTTTTTCATGGTGTGGGTCTCGAAAGCAGAGGGACCTTGGGCCAAAAAAAAATAATATATGTCTTTCCGCTAACCCTACCTACCCTAATTTTTAATGCCTACCCTAACACTTTTTTAAGCACTGTTAAAGTCAGACTGATTCCCTAGCAGTAACCAGCTAAAAAATGTTTGTAAAATAAAATGATATTGCCTACCTACCTACCTTATTTCTTTCAGCACGTTAGCGGAAACACATGTATTATTTTTATTTGCCTTACTTTTTATCTAGAGTGATTCACTGGCCTATTAACACTAAGGTCCCGACAATAAAAACTTATGCTTGAAATGGCGTTTAACGCCAACAATCAAGTAATCTTTTTGATGGTTTAGCTACTTCATAAAAATTGTATGGTTTTACCACATACATTTCTCACTTATGAGTATTAGGATAACTACATTAAAGAAGTTATATCTATAAATGGATCCTTACAATGTGCTACATGACCATCAGACAGGTTCCATCTGACCGTGACCTCATTTGATGGATCAATGATCAAGTTTTAAGTTTAGCGAATATGCCCATTGTTCGGATGCAAAAAGCGATAGGTGAAGTATATGCAAATACTTGTCGACCTGCCTGGGTTCATGTATCCTTCGCCTCATTTTTATGGTTTATTTGCGACGTCAAGTTTGTATGCCCCTACTGTAGTGGACGTAGCATTAAGTTATATATACTAAATAGGAATTAATCCGTGATCTCAGATTCTCAATTCGTGATCTTGGACTAATAATCCATGATCTCGAATTAATAATCAGTTATCTTGGTTTCCCGATCAGGTCACTCTGACACTGATTTTGACCCTCTTGTCTGATTTCTGTCCTGCGCATAACGTTTGTACCGTACAACTGAGATCAAACTTGGTATGCTGATGCATCATGACTGAAATATTATCCGAAACATTCTCAAATTTATTTACGGTGCATCCTTTCTTTTACCGTATCACTTAGATTGACACAACTGTGTATATATATAGAAGACTCATGGGATCGGGATGTGTCAAATACCAAAATCAGGTCACTCTGACCTTGACGCTTGATTCCTATAGTTTTATATAGTTATTTGTGTTAGTGCGTAACTATTCTCTTGAGAACTGTATGTAACCAAACTATGTCAAACTAAGTATGCAGATGTTTTATAGGAAGTAGATTTGTCAGTAAGATAACATCATTGTGGCTTTGACCTTTTACCCCCAAAAATTTCTTTTACCTATAACATTGATATGGCAGAAACCCAAAATTCTAACAATGACTTTGTTTCTATACTGAATATCAAAGAATCAATCAAATAGTACGGAGGGCTTTAGTCCCGCTAAGCAGACAACAATAGTTTCATTTGTCAAATCATAAAAACAGTTTGTTTAGGATGTTCGATGCCATGTTTCAAGATATAAAAAAAGCTAATCTGAGATGACGGATTAGTAAACCGACATCACGGATTAGTAAACCGACATAACGATTTGGAAATCGAGAGCACGAGTTATTAATCCAAGATCACGGATAATTTTATGTCCATCAACCTCAAAAGAAGTAAAAAGCTTAGGGTCCTTTTTTAAACAGGCATTAGAACTGAGGACAGGAGACTCTTGATTTATTTATATAAATATATATATATATATAGATTGTTTTGCTTTTTTACCTTTATATGTTTTATGGGATATGTTTTCCTATGGTTTTGTTTGTTAAAAGTATTTTGTGTATGTTTGCATATAATTTGTCACAAACTTATTGTTCAGAGTTTTTATGACAATAAACATTTGATTTGATTTGATTTGATAATTAATTCGAGATCAAGGATGAGAAAACCGAGACTACAGATTGGAAATCAAACATTGCAAGATCAGGGATTAATTTGAATTTTCATATGTCCCTACATAGCTTCCGTAGTTACCGGAATGTTCAAAGCTGAAATTAATAATAATTTTTGAAAGACTTAATGTTCTAAAAATCGCAAAAAAACGTGATGAAAAAATTTACGACATGGTGTTGTGTAAAACAGAACGGATTTTACGCAAAACTTTGCGAAACTCTACCAAATTTTCCCAAAAAAACCCACCAAAAAATGCATGTACAGTTTTTAAAGGAATATAAAACATGTTGGTTAATCAGGTGAATTGTATTTGTGTGTCTAATAGAAAAAGGGATATATGGAATATCCATCCATGTCATGATGACATAAAATCAGTATACATGCACAAAATAATAGA